GTGGGTACTCTTGTAAGAGCGGCACGGCGAACTTGCTCGGCGGAGGGACTCGCGAAAATAGTGCCTGCGACCGCAGCTGTGACGAAGCCTTTCCCAACAAAGCCTGCAAATGCCTGTCCAAAGGCAGAATCACGAAGTCAGAATCATCGTCCCAAGAAGTCGGGGTTCACACCTGGGGAAGTCTCGAGCATCGGGATCATGACCGCGGGAAGTCCTAGGATTCTTCTTCAACATTCTTCGTTGACTTACCGGCTCATGTCCTGAGCCTCCACCGGTGATAATGGAGACTTTTGGATTTTCTGTCAACTCCTTTGTTGGTCGCCGATATACGATTCGGTTCTGCGCATCAAAGGCAACAGACGGGTTGGTTAGGGTCAAGCTGTGGAGAGAAGTCTGGACGAGGTGAGTCGGGTCGTCGATGAAATGTTTTGCGGACATATTGGGTGGCTTCTCGTATAGCTTTCAGGGAGAGTATGAATTCCGAGAAGGTCAGCAAGCAGCGTAGGAGAGGACAAGTGAGAGATATAAGAACTGGGGCAAGTCCTTGTATCACCCACCGTGCCCGCCTTGCTCGCTTCTTCAAGAAATCAATGCGGGGAAATAACCATTCTCAAAGCTTTGTTCAGGTGGGGCTTAGCTGGGCCAACTGGGCGAACTCGTGGAGGAGACATGGGATCATTGGGCCAGTATGGGTTTCCCTTCAGCCATCTGCCGCCTGCGCTCGAAGGGCTTCTGTGAGGTGATACGCCCACCCCTCCTACACATGCACTTCGGCGTAAGTAGGCCCGAGAACATCGAGTGCCCAGAATTGTCAGATGCCACGCTGTAAGAAATGCTCATTCATCTCCTCCAGGTGGGGGTTTCTAGCAGCGCTTAAACACGGCGATGTCGCTGGACTTTCGATGGCAGCTTGGGTTCTGTGGCTCTCGATAGAAAATGTATTTCCAGCTTCGGGTTTCTCCTTTTGGACATCCCGTGAAAACTTTCAGGGTAGCAGTGGAACTGTTTGTCCTAGAGCCTTCACTTTACCTCGCCGGCATACCCCTATAACCCCGACCTGTGTCCACTCATCGAGGATTCAGGACCAACATTGGCCGGATTAACCGGCGATGCCAAACACCAAGAGGTGTGCAGCATCCGGGAACTTTACCGGGCTGCCCGCCTCGATTAAAGGCGGAATTCTCCCGGAGTTACTCGTAGATGGGCCTCAATTAATTGAAGGGAATCTTGGGGGAGACCAAGTACACAACCTGTTGAAAATGAAACACCTGGAGCGTGGGGGTCCTCATACATTTGGTCCTCTTCTTGTGACTCGTGGGGGTTGAAGCCTAAAGGTCAGACCAAGTGGCATTTCCCCTCAAAATCCAGATTAGATTAGATGGAATCAAAATTCACATTTGGGGAATTTTTGTTGGTAATCTTCCTCGACCAAAGCCGCCTTTTTTTGCTATCCTAATCATGGCATCTGAGTACTGAGGCCCCTGCTTCCAAGAAATCATGAAACTCGACACCAAGTCCCTGCGATACCTCAACCCCACCGACTGGCGCACCCTCACAGCCGTCGAGACGGGAAGCCGAAATCACGAAGTCGTCCCCACCCCACTCATTGCCAACCTCTCGAAATCCAGTCTGGGCGATGTACAACGGAGTATCTCCTTGCTTGCCAAAGCGAACCTGATTGCAAAGGTCAAAAATGCGAAATACGACGGCTACAGGCTGACTTATGGCGGGCTCGACTATCTGGCGCTTCACTCGTTGCAAAAGAGTAACACGGTCTATGGTGTGGGAAATCAGATCGGGGTCGGGAAAGAGAGTGACATATTCGTCGTCAGCGATGAGAAGGGTGAACAGCGGGTGCTGAAGATCCATCGTCTGGGTAGAGTGAGCTTCAAGAAGGGTGTACGAAACAAACGAGACTATGCCAAAACAAAGGCCCAGAAAGAGAGAGGAGCAGGCAGTTGGATGTACATGTCACGGCTAGCTGCTGTCAAAGAGTTTGCCTTTCTACAAGCCCTGCACAATGCAGGCCTGAGTGTCCCAGTGCCACTAGGCCAGAATCGACACCAGCTGGTCATGTCATTGATTGATGGATTCCCCCTGCGACAGATCGATAAGGTCCCAGACCCAGCAGGACTGTACGCGGAGCTGATCGAGATGATTGTGCGCCTGTGCTCATTCGGGTTGATTCATGGCGACTTTAATGAGTTCAATATTTTGATCAAAGAAGAAGAGCAAGCCGGAGACATCCAGTTGGTGCCCGTTCTAATTGACTTTCCCCAGATGGTCAGTGTGGATCACCCAAATGCCGAGTTCTATTTCGACAGGGATGTGGAATGCGTGAAGCGTTTCTTTGCAAGACGTTTTGGATTTATCAGCACGGATAGCGGGCCATTCTTCAAGGATGCCAGGCAACTGGTCGGCAAGGATGGGACCAGACGACTTGATATTGAAGTCGAAGCGTCCGGCTTCTCCCGGAAAATGGCCAAAGAACTCGAAAGTTACATGAAAGAGCACGGCGTGGATGGTGACGCCAAAGGAAACGAGACAAATGATGTTGATTCAAGCGGTTCCGAAGACGAAGAGCACGATGTTGACCAAGATGATGATGGCGATAACCCCACAGGTCAAAGCGTCTCTGACACGGTTTGATATTGGACGGATCCACGCTATTGAAGATCATGCGTGCGATGATACAGGGTACCCCCGCCTTATCTCTCAGAACAAGTCTTCTTGGTTCTCTTGCAAGTACAAATATGGAGCACAGACCATCCAAGCCAGGGTCGATGGGCTAGGCGACGAATTGATCTGTCTGGGCACAATACCTTCAAGGACTGGATCCATACATATGAGTACAAACCTGGCACCTGCGCGACCCCATCCCACTCCGCCCAGCCAGTCTCCTTTGAGGAGAGCCGCCATCACTTATGCACTAAGATGACTGCAGGACCAAGCTCTGCTCGACTCTCTAAAACTGCGGCAGAAGTGAAACATCTCTCACAAGCGAAGCGCTCACCTGTTGAACCCCGCATCTTGTCACCATCCTACAGATAATGCCGTAGGTTGTCAACAATAACAACACCCCAAGCAACAAAAGAAACAGAGCTATCTCCGAGATTGGTGACGAAGGGCATCCCTGCGCAGCGATACCGACCTGCTCCCTCGAGGTTTATCGCTGTCCTGAATCACAAACCATGATGGCCTAGAGCCTACAAGGACGACCTCTTCAAACTTTATCCTACCTCAATTCCTTGTCTTCAAGTCGGACTTCTCCACGTGCAAGGCCACTTGTTTCACTTGAATTTACTGCAAGAAAGTTGAACGTCTACTAGCGCAGTTGAGCCGGTAGACTTTTGCGGAGCCAGAATTCAGCTATGGTGTAGGTGCTACGAACCATTTTTGCGCCTGCTAGATACAGGAAACTCCATTGAGTCAGGGAGATTTGCATCATGCGCAAATGCCACAAACGAGGTGGTGAGAACGAAGCGTCGACCGACCTCATCGTTACACCAAGCCGTACAGAAGAGCCAGTCTAGTCTACAGCGTTCTTGCTCGCAGAAGCATAACTGTTTGGCAGTACTCGATGCGTGGACCCTGACATCTGACAGCAACATCGGTGGCTCAAGCTTTGTCGAATATCTAGATGCTCGAGGATTCGGGCCGTTGCGTTCATTCTGTGATGGATCATGCAACGGGAATGCAGGAGCATCTGGATAACGGATTGATTCCACAAAAGAGTATGGCTTTAACAGGCCCGGCTCTCTTTCAAACTCAAAGATCAACTGACAAGCACGACTGTTTGTGAAAGAGGGCGAGAGATGTGCTTTTAGCGAGGACAGTAACAAGAGGTCCCCTGCAGTAGTGACTGCGCCGTCTCGAATCAACCCCCTGAGTTAGGATAGGAGAAGGCATGTGTGAAACGCAGCCCCTGGTCATGTGGCTGGCTCGGGAAGACGGCCACTGATGGCCAATTGTGTATCTCTCCCGTGAACGGCATAGGTCCTATAGGATCACAAGTTAGCCCCAGTTGGGTTGTTCAAGCCATACCGAAAATATCGAGTACAAGGACGAGGAGGAACTTGGTTACTCGGTACAAGTCGGTCGTAGCGTGAACGAAGGCTGAAAGCCCCCAAGCTCCACGTTCTAGGCACAAGGAGGGGATAGCCCCAGGCACTGCTCCAGGGTCAAGCCCAGCTTAGGACCAGCTATTGAGGCAGTGTGGGCTTCCCGTCAGCCACCTGCCCAATGGGCATAGTTAGCCTCTCCACACCCTGCCAGGGCCGTTGCTAAATAAACCGCGACTCCCTCTAGCTTGATCCACTAGTTGGCTTCCGCGCAGGCCGGAGATTAAGTCTGCCAATTGCTGCCACTTTCGGGGTAAACTAGGTACCTGAAGCCTTGCCTGCGCAGGAACCGGCTTAACCACTTGTGGGATCCCACAACGCGAGATGGCCGCGCATGAACCCTCCTCGCCTCGACTTTTTTGACAACTCCTTACTGCTCTTTTCACACGCGAAGCCGACTTTTTTCCCTCTGTGTTTACTCGGATGGTTCATTCTTCTCAGCAGCATCGCACCTGCGGCTGCCCTTGACACTCTCCCGGCCGACGTGGTTTTGAACTCGCTGATCAACTCCAGGAAGAGTTTGTCTATCAAGGGCGTATCCGTTTGATCCCTGCGACCGTCACTCCTGGTCACCTTCAACCGTCCAAAACAAGGCCGTTGACCCGCTCCAACCTTGAGCCCACCCGTACCTGCCACAGCCTGTCGAGTGTCGAGGTGAAAGATTGTTAAGCTTTCATCCACACCATTCTTCGACCCTCTCCGTTTGGGATATTTTGTTCCGGAACTCTGAGAATCGAAGCTTAATGGTGACAACAACGCGTCCCCGTCGGCCAGAAATATCGAGGTGTTGGGTTCTCTGACACACGCTGTTCGATCCCATCGCGGGGACAGGAGTGTTCGCGCCACTTGTACAGAATCACAAGAGACGCGCACAACAAAATGGTCTCCTCTCCTCCGGCCTCGCCTGATGGAGCAAGGCAGATACGACCTCAAAGCATTTACTCCGCATCGTCGCCGGACCCTTTCCAGAAGAATCGCCCCCAAAGCATGAGTGGTCGTCCTCCGCGAAGCCACAGTCGTATGAGCCAGAGCAGCAATCACATTGGAAGCAGAACCTCGGATGAAGATGTCAAAACTTCGGTCAAAGTTGGTATGTTAACCATTGCAGACACCTTGTGACTGGAAAGAAGACTAACTATTTGTGAAGTCGTCCGAGTTCGTCCTCCTCTAGGCCCCTCTGATCCCGGGTTTGACCTTATTCCACAAAGGTTTCAACGATCGATGGTCCAAGTAAATACAAATACCAGCCTTGCCGTTGAGTCACCCCAAGGACGAAAGATTTTCATTTTCGACCGTGTGTTTGGTCAAGACACCACTCAGAATGCCGTTTGGGAATACCTACAGGACAGTGTCGATTCTTTTTTGCAGGGTTACAATGTGTCTTTACTCGCCTACGGCCAATCTGGTGCAGGCAAAAGTTATACCATGGGCACATCAGGTCCTGCAGAGCAATTCGATCATTCTCTGAAAGGTGAGTGACTCCTGGCCAGCGCAGAACTCAGTTAACCCGTTGTGACAGGTGTTATTCCTCGAGCAGCGCAACACTTGTTCGAGGCCCTGAATGGCGGTCCTGCCCACAGCAGACACAACTCAGGCCTCAAGACACCAACCAGATTTTCAGTCACAAGTTTAAATCAGGTTATGCAAACATCGAAATCATTCATCGACAGGGGCTGGGATATGTCGGTGACCTATGTTGAGATTTATAACGAACAGCCGAGAGATTTGCTCCTCCCAGAAGATGCGCCATTCACCGAGAGAGCCAACGTACAAATTCGCGAAGATCCACGAGGTCGAATATTTGTAGAAGGCCTCAACTCAGTGCGAGTATCCTCTATCGAGGAACTCATGCGAGTTTTAAACCATGGTTCCGCTATTCGACAGACCGATGCAACAGCTATCAATGCCAGGTCGTCTCGTTCTCACGCCGTCTTCACGATTAATCTGCGACAAACAAAAGCCCAAGGTTTCCCTTCGGCAAAGGACAAACGAACGTCAGTCCCCATTGATCATATGTCTGGAGGCGATGCACCTATGACCGTCGAAAGCAAGCTCCATTTTGTCGATCTGGCAGGTAGTGAACGGCTCAAGAACACCGGGGCTACTGGTGACCGTGCGAGGGAAGGAATTTCAATCAATGCTGGACTAGCAAGTCTGGGCAAAGTGATTTCTCAGCTGTCATCAAGAACACCGGGGACTTATGTGTCGTACAGAGATTCCAAATTGACACGAATGCTGCAAGACTCGTTAGGCGGCAACGCAATCACTTATATGATCGCTTGCGTCACGCCCGCGGAATTCCACCTCAGTGAGACGCTCAATACAGTCCAGTACGCTCAGCGGGCTCGAAACATCCAAAGCAAACCCAAGATCCAGCAAGTTGATGATGGAGCCGACAAGCAAGCTGTGATTGAACGATTGCGCACTGAAATTGCCTTCCTAAGGCAGCAGATTCGAAGCGCTGAGTCGAGCGACCGTCGACCGGGTATGATGTCTGAGCGAGGTGATCGACCTAGCGATCGGGAAAATGAGCTTCAGAATCAGTTGTTGGATATTCAAGAGAATTACAATGCACTGAGTCAGAGGCACGCCAAATTGATCTCGGAACTGACAAAGAGCACCGAGCCTATTGACCAAGTGAACATTGTGGGAGAAAGTGCAGTGGATCGCCTGAAACGTTCCCAGGCCAACCAAGAAATGATTGAACAGGTGGTGATGGAATACGAAAAGACGATTCAAAGTCTTGAGAACAATCTTTCAAACACACGCTCATCCCTTGCAACCACCGAAAGCAATCTCCTCGAGAAAGAAACGAAATGCGCTTTTGTCGAAACAGTCAACCAGCAATTGAACGCCAGAGTGCAGAAATTGATGGACCGAGAGTCAAATACTGAACAGTATCTCCATGACCTGGAAGCGAGGCTCGATGACCAAAGTTCTGGAGGCGAAAAGAACGATGCTATCATCACAGACCTGCGCAAAGAGATTTCGCGGATTCGAGAAAGTGAGACGAACGCCGAAGATTATATTTGTACCCTTGAAGAGCGGCTGGCCGAAGCAGACCAGGACATGGAAATCATGCAACGCGAGATTGAGCGACTTCAGCACCTCGTTGAACGCCAACGTAGTCTCGGCAAGCTGGACAATCTGCTCTACGAACTCGACCATATCCAAGACAAAGACGGAAAGGCGAAATCTGTAATCTCACAGCATACAAACGGTGTTGTTGAGGAGCACGAGAAGGACCTTAAGACCGCTGAAGCAACCGAGCTACCGGCACAATTGGATGGAGAACTTGATGAGAGCCTGGAAGATCTACCGGAAGAAACGAGTGCAGAAAGTGACCAAGCGGGTCTTGAAAAGCTCGAGACCGCCATCGCTCAACAGGAAAGCCTCACAACTGACCATGTCCCAGAACCTCTTCCGAGCCCGGCACAGTCCAAATTCATCACCGAGAAATTCGAATCAGTCAGTCAAGAGCTGTTTGACCTCAGGTTGGAGCACGAATCGACGGTCAATGAATTGGATCTACTGTCGGCCAAATATCAAGAAGCACTTCGAACATTGGCGGAAATGCATGATTCGATTGACCAGGAACGCCAAAGTACAGTGTCTCCGCAGGAAGATGGAGCCAATGAGAGTAGTAAAGATCAGTCTTTCTTGGAGGAGGTAGAGGAGCCTCAAGAAGACGAGGATGGTCAACATTTGCCTTCCTCGCGGTCGCTCTCCTCGGAATTATCTATGGCTGGGGAGTCATCGACCTCGACCGATACCGACATTACGCCAGTCTCTAAGACCACGCAATCTGTCGAGGTTCAAGTGCAGGAGATTGAGAGATTGCAACATCTTCTGGCGGAACACGAACAGAATATGAAAGACGTTACCGAACAATATCACCAACTCCAGACTGATCACAAGGAAGCCTTGACCACTGTGGAACGGCTCAAATCGCAGATCAAGCAGACTAGGCCTGCATCGCCTGGTACTCCGGGTATGCTGAGACGCATGACTTCACAAAGCGGCACGGGGGTTGATCGAGGCCAGCGATCCGTTACCTCTCTGCGATCGCTCCTAGCTGAAGAGTTTGAAGCGAAACCTGATCGTATGGAGACCGCCGAAGTGCACCTCTCGGCTGCCAACACCGAACTTCAAGCACGCTTGGAAAGAATACAAGCTCTTGAAGCGGAGGTCAAGACAGCAAAGAAAGAAATGGAGGTAAAGTCGACGATAATATCTGGCCTGACAAGGGAAAGGACCAGTATCAAGGCGGGCTCTCCTGTCGACCTCAATATGGTGTCTCAATTGAGAGACCAGATTATTCAAAAAGAGACTGAGTTGAAATCTCTACATGAGGGCTATGCTCGTCGTGAACAAGACCTCCAAGAAGAAATCCAGAAGTTGCACGACGAGAAGGCCAATCTGCAGTCTGCCCCATCGACCACCGAGAATGAGGAGAAGATCCATGCCTTAACGCAGCAAATAGAGGAGTTGACAACCAAATTGGAGGCGGCGCAACAAGCGCTTGAGGAGTCTGAAAAGAATTATACGCGTACTAAATCTGAATTGGAGGTGGCTTTGGCAAGTATCGCCACCTTGAAAGCCCAGCAAGCAGCCGGAGAAGGGGACGATGCCTCTGGCCGGGCTGCGGCGGCCAACGCAATGCAGACTGAACGTGACAACTACGAAGAACTTATCGGTGGTCTGAAACAGCAATTGGAAGAACAACAAACGCTCAACGCTGACCATGCAGCGAAGAATCTGGAACTTCGCCAACTCCATACCGCTCTCAGCAAGGATTACGACGCCCATGCTGAGATGGTAAAATCTCAACAACAAGAAATAGCCACGCTGAAGGCAGAAATTGAACAGCTCGAACAGAAGGTCAAGTTTGCAGAAGCGCAAGCTGAGATGGCCAAGCAGAATTTGAAGACTCTTCGCGAAGCTCATAGGAACGAAGTTGAGGAGATGAAGCTGGCTCACGGTGGTGCGTTGGCGGGATACGATGATCAAATGACTGAAATCACTACCAAGCATGCGAAACTCGAGGCGACGTACAAGGCAGATCTTGAGCATGCTTTGTCAACTGTGCAGAAAATCGTCTCCAGTGCTCAAGCAGCGCTTGGCCATCCAACTACGGCAGATATGCTCGCGAGTCATATCCAGGATCTTGTAGAGGAGAAACGCCATGTCGCCGAGGCCAATGTTCGGCTGACCGGTACCAATGCGGAGCTTGAGAGGCAACTCGATGGGAGACAGAGCTTGCTTGAATTGGAAGAGGAACTCGCCAATGCCAATCTCAAGATCAGCAATTACCAGGATACGATCCGAAGCCTTGCGAATGAGGTCGGCAACCATGAAGAAACGATTCGCGAAAAGGAGAACCTGCTGAAGAAGGCCGAAGCCAATCTTCAAGCAGTCGAAGCGGAGAAGGCAAAGAAGCTGGTAATTATCGAAGAACTCGAGCAACAGTTGCAGAATAGTTTTGACCAACACCACAACCGACTGTCTGTCATCCAAGCCCAAGGCAACCAAGCTTTGATTGAAGCGCAGCAACGCATTGCCAGTCTGGAGAAGGATCTGAGTCAACGCGCATCTGTCAACGAGGCAGCATCGGACAGCGGTTCTCGAACCAACACCATGAAGTCACAACATCGTCCTCAGTCGCCGCCAGGGGAAGGAGTCCCGCGCTCCAACTCGATGACTTCGAATCTGAGGAAATCTGCGTCAATTGCATCGTTGCCTTCCCCGCCACCGGCAATTCCACTCCCTCCTCTACCCGCTATTCCCGGAGCTCTTCAAATCACATCTCCGACGCCGGCTTCCAGCAACCCTTCACCACCACAGTCTCGCCACGCTTCCAAGGAAGTAGCACTACCCGTGACTCCTGTGTCCGGTACCGTGGTGTCGACAAACTCCCGAGATCGACGCCAGTCTGCACTGATCGAGGAACAAGAAAACCGGTTGCGGACGATTGAGAAACACCTCCATGCAGAGAAACAACTCACCGCGACGCTGGAAGAAGCGCTTGTGGACCTGGAAACGCAGTCCAACAAACTCCGAGTTGACGCGGAATCCTGGAAGAAGAAGGCGTGGGCGATGGAAGAGGAACTGGTCGGACTCAAAAAGGAGCGAAAATCCGAGAGACTGAGCGTGCAGGCAGTGGAGGAGGAGGTCAAGAAGAGGAGAGAGGCTGAGGCAGCGAGGGCACAACTCGAGGAGAGAATGAGGCTGTTGACGGTGGGTAAGGATGGCAAGACGAAGAAACGAAAGGGGAGTTCGTTGAATTGTTTCTAAGTCAGGGCGAGGGCGAGCATCAAATGGGAGGGACATCATTCACGTTTTGAGGATTCTGATATTTGGGCGAATTGGGCCAAAAGAAGCTGGACTGGAGGAAGTTCGATGTGTTACGCGAGGCATTCTGTCCCTTTTTATTCCCCCTCCCTTTTTTGGGTTCGATATGCTTGAGCGTTTTGAGACAAGCGAGTTGACACAAGCTACGCGAATGGAGTTGTTTTGGGTATGCTTGTTTGTGTATAGCCAACGGCAGATGGTCTATCTGGCAACAGATGAAAAGGATGAGGAAAGAGTCTTTGTCGGGAGATGCTCTGCCATTCACGCCAGTCTCTCTTTTGACAGTCTTTCTTATGTATCTTATCCACCAACCCACCAACCAACCCATGGTCGAATCATCCGATGGAATAGAATAGAATCGGTATTGGGCATGTTATGTTTGTACATATAATGATCAGTGAGGGAGTGAGTGGGCTCAGGAGATTGGTTTGTTTCCCTACACAACACACATACAGACCTACCCACCCATCTAAAAGTAAGAAAGAGTAAGGATATGACAGATAGATATGTGGATAGATACCGAGGAAGGGGGAAGGAAGTATCAAAAACAAAGTCAAAGTCTATTCTATTCGAGCGACCGAGGCAAATTCCCATCGAGAATGTGAGCGGTGAGGGACCCACGTGTCCACGTTGTCCGAGTCGTCGTCATCTGAGCCGTTAGAGTCAAGTATACATCCACGTCCAAATGTATATACGCGCAATGGAGAGAGACACGGAGGGAAAGAAAGGAAGGCCAGGGGAAAATGCATGTCTGATGATCCCAAGGCAAAGCGAACAAGGACCAAAACCTGCATCGAATACTTCTTTGATTCTCCCTTTTTTTTTTTTCTCTGTGGGCAGCTAGCTAGTTGATGCCTGCCCCTTCATTCATTCATCCATTTTTGTTGTGCCTTGTTTTTGGACACATCGAGCACCATGTTGTATTGACCCTTCTCCTTCTATCTGAACGGCGGACTGACCGAGTGACTGACTGACTGACTGACGGACCGATCATGGACTGACTGTAAGTGTGGCGATGTCCAACCATTGCGATTTTCTTACTGTATGTCCACCCCATCATTTCCTGTCCATAACCATCCAGGCTCACATACCCGTCCGTCGATCCAAAGCCAGCCTTATCGGGTGCTTCAAACAGCAAAGTATCTCCCTCCGCTCTCGATGAGCGGTTCCTTGTTGCGAGGACAGAGTAGAATACAGCCGTGGCCCAAGGTCTCGATCTCGGCCCTCGTGCTCCCCCTAAGCCGAACCTATTCGCTCATCCAGAAGACAAGCTGTGTGTCTCGTTTTCCCCTCCTGAATTGCCGTCTTCAGTCGTGTTCGTTTAGCGAGTTGAACGCCATCCCATCATCAAAATGCCTTTGAAAGACATAAATCGAAACAAGCAGAAACATAGTCTTTCTTGCGCGCAGCAGGGGGTATCATCGAAACATGTTGAATATCGTCAAGACGTAACCCGCGCCGTCATAATCTTTTTTTGGTACGAGACAAAAAAAAAGGAAAGCATACACGTCTTTCGCTTTCCATGAGCACCCCGGGGCACAAATGTGCCATCCTCTTCATATGCAGTCAAAGAAACAAGTACAGCAGAAGAAGATTCCCGACCCTGAGTCTGTTGAAAACCAGGAAATCGTAAAAATCCCTCGCCGCACCTCTATCTCCGGAAATCAGTGATACGTGCTCTCTCCCTCGGAATATCTACTCCAACAAAAAATCCAATGGATTAAATGGAACGCCAGTGCTTCGTCATTCTTTGTCATAGTTTTCAGTGTTGGTACGGAAAACAAACAAGGAAATCTAAAAGGTCAAAGGCTTGGGCTGTTCCCAGGTGAAAGTCTGATCTGTGAAATGACCGTTTTTGGCGGTCTTGAAGTAAATGGGGTTGGTCAGGTTGAGCTCCTTGACAATGACGCCGGGCCTCAGGTCGAAGTTCTTGTTGATAATGTCGACAAGCTCGGCACTGGTTCTGGTGCTGGTGCCGTAAGTTTCGACAAAGAGGGACAGTGGCTCAGCAACACCGATGGCATACGAGAGTTGGACTAGGCAACGACGAGCGAGTCCTGCGGCCACGAGCGATTTCGCAATCCAGCGGGCCAGATAAGCGGCCGAGCGATCGACCTTGCTATAGTCCTTGCCGGAAAAGGCACCACCACCGTGAGCACCCCAGCCGCCATAAGTATCCACAATGATCTTGCGGCCGGTGAGACCAGCGTCGCCCTGGGGACCACCGATGATAAACAACCCGGATGGTTGGATGTGGTAAATGGTCTTGTCGTCGAGGTATTTGGCGGGGATGACTTTCTTGATGATCTTCTCCAAAATCTCCTTTCGCAGGTCTTCGGTGGAAATGTCCTCGGAGTGCTGGGCCGAGATGACAACGGTATCAACTCTCAAAGGCTTGACAGCACCTCCATCATGGGCATATTCCACCGTGACTTGAGTCTTGGTGTCCGGTCGTAGCCAGGGGAGTTCACCAGACTTCCGCGCGGTGGTCATGGCAGCGTTGAGTTTGTGGGCGAGTTGAATGGTCAGCGGGAGGAGCTCGGGAGTCTCATCGGTAGCATAACCAAACATGATACCCTGATCACCGGCTCCCAGCTTTTCCAAGGCCTCATCGTAGTGCAAGCCCTGGGCGATATCAGGAGACTGCTCTTCAATTGCGACGAGAACGTTGCAGGTCTTGTAATCGAATCCCTTCTCTGAGCTGTCATATCCGATCTCCTTGATGGCATTACGGATAATCTTCTGGTAGTCGAGATGGGCTTTGCTCGTAATCTCACCAAACACCATGATCATGCCTAGAACATGTTAGGATGGGAGATCCGGTCATTTTTGTTTTTTTTTGTTTTGTGTTTGGGGGGGGGGGGGGGGGGGAAGATGGATGTACCAGTCTTGGTAGCAGTCTCGCAGGCCACTTTCGACAGAGGGTCGACTGCGAGACATGCATCGAGGATAGCATCGGAAACCTGATCGCTAAAGGTATTGTCAGTCTCGACACGTCTGAAGAGAATAAAGTGGTACGTACGCGATTTTGTCAGGATGACCCTCACCAACGGACTCGGATGTGAAGAGGAACGTGTCGCCCTTGGACACTCCGTTTGCAAGACCACTCATTTTTGCGGTAATAGTCTGAGACTGCTGGGGACGGCGGTCAAGCAAAGGGTAGATCGAGAGAGTAAGTGTGTGAAAGAGGACGTTCTGTAGCGAGAGGCCGTCTCGAAAGAATGCGGAGGGAGAAGAAGAGGTCGCGATTACGACACCGAGTCCTTTCTTTTCGAGGTTGCGAGTGCTTGGGGGCGCGAGGAAGGAGACTGCCCGGTCGATGGAGAGGGAGTGTGTGTCTGTGTGTCGGTTAAGTAGATGTGATCCAGAAAGACGGAATGGGTGGTGGTGGTGGATGTGGCAGAAGGACTAGTATTAAATCATAGGGAAAAGGGAAAAAATCCTGGGAGGTGGGGATGGGATGCGTTTCCCGATGAGCCTGAGAAGACGGAGAAAACGGTGAGGAGAAAAAATTCAAGGGCGATGTCGTTATCACACCAAACGGAATCCACCCACAAGCCACAAGGAGGACCCCCTCCCCCATCTACCCATTCAACTGGGCCGGCACCGGCAGAGTTTTGACCTGCCTGGAAACCAGTCTTGCCAGTTGATTACCCAGTCACCCAGTGTCCCTGGACTTGGCCCTGGGCTCCAGCAGCAGCTCCAGTAGCTGCCCCGGTAATCCCAATAATAGGCGGTCTCTGGGCACTAGGGAGGACCTAGGAACAGCACAAAGCCCACTAGGCTCAGAGCCAACGACAGCACCAGGTGGCCCCATGCCGGCAACTCTGTTTCCCTTTTCTCTTTCAGCCATTGTTGCTGCTGTTGCTGAGGCGGTATCCTTTTCTCCCCTGGGCGCCTGGTCACTGATGATGGCGGTGAGCAACACTTCCTTGCCCGAACCGACGGAATCTGTCTCGATCTGACCTGATTTGTTCCTCTGCAATCGAGCTGGGGGAGAGAATTGCGCAATCGTCCCCGAACTCCAAAGGTCAACTTGTCTGAAGTGCCGCGGCAGCTCCAGCTCCACGCTTGCACTTTTTCACCCCTCACTAAACTGACCCATAGAGGCAGATATTATGATTCGTCCCGAGAAAATGCTTCCGGCTGGGCGACTGCAAGGGTCCCGTACTCGGATGTGCAAACCTGAAGGCGGTGGCAGAAATATCATCGTCTATTTTTCTCGAAGCCTTGGACGACAGAGATGATGAAACCAAACTGAAAGAGAAGAAGGAAATACACAACAACGAGTCTTGAATTCTCTATCTGTACTTAAGGCTGTCCAAGTGTAAAGACAAAATTTGTCACTGCCGCTAAAAGGACGCTAACGCCTTTGGGAAAAGCCCAAGGGAATATAATATCAGGTTGGCATGAGGTCCGACAGAAAAGTCATTCCAGCAAGACAGATTCTGCACAAAGGGCTCATATTCCTCAGCTTGACAATATCACTCTTATAAGGAACCCCGTCTCGTGAGACAGGGCAAGGAGACAAAGGGGAAGAGACAGCAAGTGTGAAGGGCGGAAGAGAAGGGCTTGATCGACGTTGAGGCATCGTTATTGCGCGTTCACCACAGCGAAAGGACCAGGCGGATACCGTGAATCTGGAGTGGCACGAACAATCACAACCGGTACTGTGGAACATTCTTTTCTACGGGGGACTCGTGTCTCATCTTCACGTTCACCGAACCACGAGAACAATCCAGCGGCTACCGTCCTCACGACTCTCACCCTCCAGCGACACCCGCATTCAGACTCGAAACAGCCTAAGGAAGGCAAGAAAATATGTCCAAGTTCGGTGTCCTTGTCACCGGCCCTGCCGGTGCAGGCAAAACAACCTTCTGCACCGCCCTCATAACTCATCTACACCACAGCCGCCGCTCCGCCTTCTACGTCAACCTCGACCC